TTCAGGCAGGTTATCCAAAATGCTGCTGGTTGCAACTTGCTTGATCTCTTCCCCAGGACGAATCCAGACCTCACAGGGGCTCTGACGCTTTCTTAGCTTTACCAAAAAAAATAAAAAATAAAAACCTTTCAACAACACTCATTTCTGGACAAAATTCTTTCTTTTTAAATTTTTTAATTTTATAAAAGTAGTAAATACATAGTTCATAATGTATCTCTTTTCCCCTGATAGGTGTATAATGTAGTGTATATCATTATTGTTTTAATTCTACTGTTGACACTATTATAGAGGTCTCCCATTTGCCCCCCTTTACCCTCCTCCACCCAGTCCCCCCACCTCTAGCCATCACCACACTTTTGTCTATGTCCATCCCCCTCCCCTCTGACTTCCCATCCTATATAATAAAAGGCTAATATGCAAATCGACCAAATGGTGGAACAACCAGTCGCTATGACATACACTACCAGGGGGCAGATGCTCAATTCAGGAGCTGCCCCCTGGTGGTCAGTGCGCTCCCACAGGGGGAGCACCGCTCAGCCAGAAGCCCTGAGCTGGGCTTACAGCTGGCGAGCACAGTGGCAGTGGCAGGAGCCTCTCCCACCTCCACAGCAGCGCTAAGGATGTCTGACTGCGGGTAGCGGGCTTAAGCCAGCAGTTGGACATCCCCCGAGGGCTTCCAGACTGCGAGAGGGCACAGGCTGGGCTGAGGGACCCCCGTAAGTGCACAAATTTCATGCACCAGGCCTCTAGTAGTATATGTATTTTTCTATTTTATTTTTTTAACAAGAGTATTCCTTATAATATACTTATGTGCATAGTTCATGGACAGGGCCAGTAGGTTGGTGAAGACCTAAAGGAGGGAGTGGGGAGGGGCTGGAAAGAGGAGAGTGGAGGGATTTAAAAGGGGGGGGGAGTAAGTGGGAGATATATGTGATGCCATCAACAATAAAAATACAGAACATCATAAACTGATGAACAAAAACAGAGACAGAGAAGCATCAATCAGACGGTCAAACCTCAGAGGGAAACTAGGGGAGGGTGGGGGTAAGGGGAAGAGATCAACCAAAGGATTTATATGCATGCATATAAGCCTAACCAATGGACGCAGGCACCAGGGGGGTGAGGGAATGAGTTGCGGGGGTCGGGGTGGAAGCGATGGGGGGATAAGGACACATGTAATACCTTAATCAATTAAAAAATATATGTATTTCTATTTTTTGAATCCTTGCACCAGTGGGGTGGCCTGTGGGATCAGGCCAAAACCAGCTCTCCAACACCCCCCGAGGGGTCCCGGATTGTGAGAGGGCACAGGCCAGGCTGAGACCCCACTGGTGCACGATCAGGGCCGGGGAGGGATGTGGGAGATGGGCCAGCAGGGAGGGACCGCAGGAGGGCTCCAGGTCCTGTCGGCCTGTCTCGCTCACTCTCGATCGGCTGGACCTCAGCAGCAAACTAACCTACCAGTCGGAGTTTCTGCCCCCTGGTGGTCAGTGCATATCATAGTGAGTTGAGCGGTCGTAGCATATCATTAGCATATTATGCTTTGATTGGTTGAATGGATGACCAGACGACTAGACACTTAGCATATTAGGCTTTTATTATATAGGACTAGAGGCCCAGTGCATGAAAATTCGTGCACTGGGGGGAGGGGGTCCCTCAGCCCAGCCTGGCCCCTCTCACAGTTTGGGAGGCCTCAGGCGATGTCCTACTGACAGCTTAGGCCCGCACCCCTCTGCAGGAGGCGACCCGGCGATCAGAGGAAGGCGCTGCCCCCATCACCCCACTGCTGCTGCCACTGCCAGCCACTAGGCTATTGGCCCTCAGCCCTCGATTCTTAGTGCTGGCCAGCTGGGGGAGGAGCTGGGGGAGGTTGAGGCACAGCAGGTCGCACCCCTCCAGCCTCTGCGGAGACCTGGCGCCAGGGCCGGGCCCTCACTGCTGCCTCTGTGGCTGCCTCTGTGGAAGGGGCAGCACTGGGACCAGGACTGCGCAGCCCCCTCTCCCCCTTCCAGGTCAAGACTTTATTTTGAAAGTGGGAGGATTATTAAAATATCTCAAAAGGTTTGGACATTTGACTAAATAGGATCAGTGTCATTATGAAGCAATACTTAATTAGTCATTTAACTGAAGTGACGATAAGAAATTTCAAAGACAAATTCAGTACCTTACATAATTTTTAGCAAAACTTAGTTCTTTCGCATGGACAACAGTGTGGTGATTGGGGGGTGGAGAGATGGGGAATGGAAGAGGATATAGGGGGGTAAATGGTGATGGATGGAGACTTAACTTGGGGTGGTACATATATAATAAAGCATACAGATGATGTGTTGTGGAATTGTGCACCTGAAGCCTGTATAATTGTGTTAACCTGTGTCACCCCAATAAATCCAAAAATTTTTTTAAAAGCGTAGTTCCTGCCTGCCTGATGTGGCCACAGACTACAAGCCACAAGCCGTGTCTTTATTTTATAGCAGATGCCACGAGGCAAAGTAAGGGTGTGGTCAAGATGTTTACCGCATTCTCCTGGGGTTTTTTTGTTGTTTTTTTAAAAATATATTTTATTGATTTTTTTTTTACAGAGAGGAAGGGAGAGCGATAGTTAGAAACATTGATAAGAGAGAAACACTCATCAGCTGCCTCCTGCACACCTCCTACTGAGGATGTGCCCGCAACCAAGGTACATGCCCTTGACCGGAATCGAACCTGGGACCCTTCAGTCCGAAGGCCGACGCTCTCCACTGAGCCAGACCAGTCAGGGCTCTCGTGGGTTTTGATCCTACTCAATTACATGCACCTGAACTCTATCAAGCCCACATCACTCAGGCAGGTGGGGCCACGTGTTCGGACCAGGTTCAAGCTCACAACTATAGCTGTTGACTACAATTGTGCTGGGAAGGTTCTGCCCTCCAAGCTGGGACTTGCATGTGGCCACGAGAGGACTGTGCCCTCTCATTAGTCCAAGGCTTGAACCTGTTGAAACACTGTAGCGCTCTCCACAAAAAAAATAAATAAAAATAAAAAGCGTGGTTCCAACTATTAAGGAGATTCAGTTTTCTTAGGTAATCAAGGACCTGATTCAAACAACATAAAACACAGAAACTTATTTTGATAAAACACATTTCTTTGCTTTCTAGACAGAAAAAATTTTCAAAATATCAGTAGACCAATAATCTAATAAAATTTTGTTCTTTTTAGCAGAGAGAGAAAATCAAACTCTAAATTTACATCAGATTGCTTTTGATATTTAAATTCACTTACATTTATTTCAATATTTTTTTTTAAATGTTGATTTTTTTTAGAGAGAGGAAGAGGGATAGCGAGATAGAAACATCAGTAAGAGACATCCATCAGCTGACTCCTGCACTCCCCCTACTGGGGATCGAGCCTCCTGCATGTCCCCTAGTGGGGATCAAGCCACAATCCCGCATGTGCCCTAACAGGGAATTGAACCCGGGACCTCTTCATGGGTCAATGCTCAAACACTGAGCCATGCCAGCCGGGAAAATTTATTTCAATCTTATTCAGCTTCACTACTCATAAAATTTATTTCCTGAAGATTCCTTTTTCATAAACTTTCTTCAATTTTCAGTGTCCCTTTTAGTGTGTAAACTTGTTCTCTGACCCATTCAGAAAAAATCAGGACACAATTACTTCATTTCCCTTAATGAAAACGTATTTCCCCGTTTTATACCTTTTTTTTAAAGCCAAATATATCCATTTTTCTTGTATACATAGTTGTTTTCTCTATTATTAATTTTTGTACCTTTACACATGTTAGAATTCTTCACCTTTAAAAATCCTAATTTCTGCCCTAGCCAGTTTGGCTTAGTGATTAGAGCGTCGGCTGGTGAACTGAAGGGTCTCAGGTCTGATTCTGGTCAAAGGCATGTACCGCGGTTGCAGACTCGATCCCTGGCCTGTCAGGCCATGTGCAGGAGGCAACTAGTCGATGTGTCTCTCTCACATCAGTTTCTCTGTTTCTACCTTCCCCTAGTCGATGTGTCTCTCTTACATCAGTTTCTCTGTCTCTACCCTCCCACTCTCTAAAAAAAAATCCTTGGGTGAGGATTAACAAAACAAAAAATCCTAATTTCTAGTGATAACTAAGGAATAAACAATTGTGAACTGTTATACCATTTATAAACACATTTTATAATTTCTAAAAGTATTTTCTTCACAGCACAGTTTAATGTGGCACAAAACAGGTTAACTAAGAGACTGAACTATCTTTAGTTCCTCTGTGAGAAGCAAAAAGTAGGCAAACCTACATTCAATAAGAAATGTTTCAGTACTTCATTATATTTGGAAATGGTCTAGACCAGTGGTCCTCAAACTACGGCCTGCGGGCCACATGCAAATACAAATATTGTATTTGTTCCCGTTTTGTTTTTTTACTTCTAAATAAGATATGTGCAGTGTGCATAGGAATTTGTTCATAGTTTTTTTTAAAACTATAGTCTGGCCCTCCAACGGTCTGAGGGACAGTGAACTGGCCCCCTGTTTAAAAAGTTTGAGGACCCCTGGTCTAGACATTCAATGAATATCCATCATTTAATTTAGCTAGCAAACCTTTAAAGTTTCAAGTTACGAAATTACCAGGCTTAGAAAACCATTTCTAAGTGCGCCTATGTTGACATAAGAACGTCCAAATTTGTAGAGAACATTTATAAGTTTATTAGATGCCCTGGCCAGGTAGCTCAGTTGTTTAGAGCATCATCCCAATACACAAAAGTTGTAGGTTTAATCCCCAGTCAGGGAATATACAAGAATCAACCAATGATTCTTGCATAAAGAAGTGGAACAATAGCCCTAACCGGTTTGGCTTGGTGGATAGAGCATTGGCCTGTGGACTGAAGGGTCCCAGGTTCAATTCCAGTCAAGGGCATGTACCTGGGTTGTGGGCACATCCCCAGTAGGAAGTGTGCAGGAGGCAGCTGATCGATGTTTCTCATCATTGATGTGTCTAACTCTCTATCCCTCTCCCTTCCTCTCTGTAAAAAATCATCAAAATATATTTCCTTTAAAAATGTGGAACAACAAATCAATGTTTTCTTCTCTTTCTCTCCCTTCCTCTCTCTAAATCAGAACAAAAAGAATTTATTAGAATTTATTTTAGCCAGAGGCAGGCAGGTTCAATGAGTGGCTGGCTGCATTCCAGTTCATGGTGCCAGGACTTCAAGGCCTACAACGTAATTTGCTTTAATTCTGAGGTATCCAAACACAATTTTTGATAAATACCCCTTGAGTTAAGCCCACTTGTTACTTGCAATCAAGAGACCAGTGCGGCACTCTCGGACAGGAACCACGTTGTCCCAACTTTGTACGCCGTGTCTAGAATATTGGTAGTCACAGTTGGGATTTAATCCATACCTGTTCTGGTCCTAAAGAACAGATAGAGTCTATTTAATTCATAACATTCTTACCAAGTACCCAATAGTATCCAAAGATGGGCTATAAATCCCATACTGAACATGGAGATTTGCTGAACCTAACCTTAAACGGACCACTAAAGCCGTGTCTGACAGCAACATAAAATATAAAGTTCATGAACTAGTTTCAGAAAGCAAGCATATGGAAGCTCCATGTAAAACTTCACTTCAACCCTTCACTCATGTACGTATAGAGCAGTGGTTCTCAACCTTCTGGCCCTTTAAATACAGTTCCTCATGTTGTGACCCAACCATAAAATTATTTTCGTTGATACTTCATAACTGTAATGTTGCTACTGTTATGAATCGTCATGTAAATATCTGATATGCAGGATGGTCTTAGGCGACCCCTGTGAAAGGGTCGTTCGACCACCAAAGGGGTCGCGACCCACAGGTTGAGAACCGCTAGTATAGAGGAACACTTCCTGAATATGCAAGTTTACTTTTCCTCAAGGAAATATTTATTGCATATTATTAATGATCATATTTTACATAAAAGATTAAATTAAAGGTATATACTTTTCAAAAACGTAAAATTGAAATCAAGGCATCATCACATTTACATGCTGAAACAAAGTCCTGGTTTTCGGAATCCAGCAGTCAATCATGATTCTGGTCCAGGGCCACCAGTCCATGATTTCCAATAGTTGAGGATCTTGTCAGTCATTGGAACAAAATCTTCTTTATATGTGACAATCGTTTCCACATAAAACCCTTTCGGGGGCTCAGTTATTTCCTTCCTTAGGTCTAATTCATCACCTTTAAAAAATATGGAACACCTGAATTATTAACATTTACCTTAAGGAGCAGTCATTAAAATTATTTAGTCAAGGCTTAGAAATAAAACAAAATAAGAATTACCTGACTCAGGGCTTTCATATGTTGAGACATCTTTTTGTTCTACTTCATCACCTTTAAAAAAACAAAACACCTGAACTATTAACTCTAACTTAACAGTCATGTAAACTATTAGTAAAGTCTTATAAGTAAAATAATTACTCCCACCCCCATCAGACTCCTGACACCATTTTCTTTCTGTAAAAAAGAAAAATAAATAAAACATGACCACTACAGACAATGAAATGGTTACACTCAATACTTGGATGGGCATGTGTACTTTCAGGCCACTGATAATCATCACCAAATGTAATCTTCAGCAGAGTTTCCACATCACAGCTTTACCAAGATGTACTTAACATATCATACAATTACTCCTTTAAAATGTAACGCTGCCGAAACCAGTTTGGCTCAGTGGATAGAGTGTCGGCCTGTGGACTGATTCGATTCCGGTCAAGGACATGTACCTGGGTTGCAGGCACATCCCCAGTGGGAGATGTGCAGGAGGCAGCTGATCGATGTTTCTCTCTCATCGATGTTTCTAACTCTCTATCTCTCTCCCTTCCTCTCTGTGGAAAATCAATAAAATATATATTTAAAAAAATAATAATAAAATAAAAGAAAATGTAACGCTGCCCTGGCCAGTGTGGTTACATGGTTAGAGCGCCTGCCCAGCACTGAAGGGTCTGGGTTCAACTCCCACTCAAAGGCACCTACCTAGGTTGCAGGTTTGATCCCAGCCCTGGTGGTCCGGGAGCAACCAATGGATGTGTTTTTTCTCTCTCCTCCCTCCCTTCTACCCTAAAAATCAATGGAAAAAATATCCTCGGGTGAGGATTAAAAAATAATAATAAATAACCCTAGCCGGTTTGGCTCAGTGGACAGAGCGTCAGCCTGAAGGGTCCAGGGTTCAATTCCAGTCAAAGACACGTAGCTTGGTTGCAGGTTCACTGGCCGCAGGAGGCAACCAATGGAGGTGTCTCTCTCACATCCATGTTTCTTTCTGTCTCTCTCCCTCCCTTCCACTCTTTCTAAAAATCAGTGAAAAGCCCAACTGGTGTGACTCATTGATTGAGCCTCGACCAATGAACCAGGAGGTCACAGTTGGATTCCCAGTCAGGACACATGCCCTGGTTGCAGGCTCCATCCCCAGTAGGTGGGAGGGGGCGGGGAGGGGGGGAAACGGGGTACAGGGAGGCAGCCAATTGATGAGTCTCATCACTAATGTTTCTCTCCCTATCTCTCCCTCTCCCTTCCTCTCTGAAATCAATAAAATATATATATATATATTTTTAAATATATTTTATTGATTCTTTACAGAGAGGAAGGGAGAGGGATAGAGAGTTAGAAACATCGATGAGAGAGAAACATTGATCAGCTGCCTCCTACACACTCCCCACTGGGGATGTGACCGCAACCAAGGTACATGCCTTTGACCAGAATGGAACCTGGGACCTTTGAGTCCGCAGGCTGACGCTCTATCCACTGAGCCAAACCGGTTAGGGCTAAAATATATTTTTTTTAAAAATAAATTAAAATTCAATGGAAAAATATCCTTGGGTGAGGATTAATCAAGAATTAAAATTAAAACAATAATAATACAGTAAAATAAAATGTAACATTAAATGGCTTTCAGTACATGCAGATCTGTGGAACCTACACAATTAATTTTACAATATTTTCATCCACAAAAATAAACCCCATACTCTTTGCTATCACTCCTCCCATTCAGCCGCAAGCAACCAGATATCTATTAGCAGTACAGATTTCCAAGCACGTTTTTAAAGCTAAGGGAGTTCCTTTCTGGTAAGGGTTTTTTAAAATATTTTTTATTGACTTCAGAGAGGAAGGGAGAGGTAGAAACATCAATGATGAGAATCATTGACCGGCTGCCTCCCGCGCGCCCCCTACTGGGGATCGAGCCTGCAAACCGGGCACGAATCCTTGACCAGAATTGAACTGGGACCTTCAGTCCGCAGGCTTTGCTCTACCCACGGAGCCAAACGGCTAGGGCTCTGGTAAGGTTTTAATAATATTCCTTAGCTGGTATAAGTGCTGAAATTGCTCGCCAAACGCGACAAAGGGCTAATGTTTCAGAAGCACCGTGTCCAGTGCCTGAAAACTCCCATCTCTAAGGTGACATTGATTCTTCAAATTCTTAGTGTAAGGCACGGCCTCACTCGAAAATATAAGATTTGGGTAAGAGCATTTAAAATGCAGTTCCTGGCAGATTCCATTAAAACGAATGGCTCTAAACAACCGTTCCCAAGTTTTGTAGACTATTTAGGGCTGGCGCCCAGCGAAGCTGCTCCTATGACCCCTGCGCGAGCCCCACGGAAGGCTGCATGCCCCGCGGACGGTCTTGCGGGAGAGCCGTACCTAATGGTTTGCTCTTTTTGCGGCCGGAGAAAATCAAGGCGCCCAACAAGGTCCAGGTGCCCAAAGCGTAAACGGAGGACATGCGCCGGTACCAAAGCGAGGCCTGGTCCGGACGCATAGCGCCGGAGGAAGGAAAGTCTTCTGCGAGACCCGGGGCGTAGGCGGGTCTTCCGGTCGGCGCGCCGCCACCGTCGCCGCTTCCTCCAATGGGGAGCTGGCCCCGATGCATCCTGGGGCGTGTAGTCCGGCGAGCCGCTCCGGCGATTGGGCTCAGGTCGAGGAGCTTTGGTTCCGGTCCCTTGCTGCGAACCAAGACGCTGCATGCCAAGTGACCTGCCAAATGAGTACCTCTGAGCAAACTTCCACTTGCAAACTGATGTGCTTGCCGGAGTGGACACGCAATAAACTGCCATAGTCCTTTCCAGCCTTAATCAAGCCATTTCTAAGCATCTGATACCACGGGCCCCTCCTGCTCCTGTTATGGCTCCAGAAACGTTTTCTTCGGTACCTCCGAATCCGTCGGGGCTCTTTCTACTTTGCCCATCCTCGTCTAGAAAGTGATATTTTGATACTTTGACACACCTCAAATTTAACTATGAATGGATCATAGGCTGAAATTTAAAGCTAAAACTATAAACGAAAAAAAAACCGTAGAGAAGAAAAATCTTTGCTACCTTGGCATAGAGTTTTTAAGTTTCTTAGCATAAAACATAAAACATGGGGAGAGGGAGGAAGCTGGCGGCCGGCGAGTGTGGAGTGAAAGTGAGAGTAAGGGAACGAGAGGGAGAGTGTGTGTGTGTGTGGGGGGGGGACGGCAAGACGGCGCGGGAGCCTGGGGGGCAGGCGGTGGGGCTCTCGGGGCCAAAAAGACGCTGCTACTGCCCAAGGCACCCACCTCCCCCGCCCGGTCCGGCTCGGAGGCCGCTATCTTGAAGGGTTTGCAAGGTCCTCCTTGGGAGGAGCCTGCCCCGCCCGCCACCCACTGGACTGACCGAGGCCTGAGCCCACGGGCACCCCCGCCCCGGAATCCGGACACCCCCGCCCCGGGATCCGCTAGCCCCAAGGACAAAATATACCGGAAAAAAAAAGAAAAGAAAAAAAAAAGACTATTTCCTGGACAGAATTTTATGAGCAAATCTTCTAGTAAAATTTGCATATACGTAAGCACAAGTGCAGGACGGGAAAAATGATATTCAAGAGTAAATCCAAGTTAAAAAAGGAGTAACTTAAAAATTTCTACCAATTATATGTTCTGAATATGAAGGTTCTAGTTACCAAATAAACTAGGAATTTTTATTCAAGCACTGGAAGTAGCCACTTCACTGTAATAGGGGTTGCTTTTACCCGAGGTGTGCGTTACAAGGTTGGCGGGCATCTCTCTCTCTCCCAATTTTTTTTTTGGGAGGCAACCAAAATTTTTGGTGGCCTTGTTTCGACAAGGCTTATTTATAACTGGTTAAAAGGTAGATTAGAGTTTGTTTCAGCTTGACCGCGTGGGTACGATTAAGTTGTGGGCTGGAATGTTTCAGTCCCATTGTGTATTTTGCTTCGATTATATTTCTCTTGTGGGCTCAATCCACACTAGAGGGCGTGTAGGAGACAGCCCATCAATGGTTTTCGGCCGTCATTGATGTTCCTACCTAGAGCAGTGGTTCTCAACCTTGGCTGCACTTTAGAATCACCTGGGAATCTTTTTAAAATCCTGATTTCTGGGCCTCATCCACAGGAAATTGTTTCGTTATGGGGTGAGGCCACAACATTAGTAATAAAGAGAATTCCCGGAGGATGAGGCATATATTTTTTTTAAAAAACCACTTTGGCCCTGACCAGTTTGGCTCAGTGGATAGAGCGTCGGCTTGCGGACTGAAGGATCCCGGGTCCGATTCCGGTCAAGGGCATGTACCTTGGTTGCGGGCACATCCCCAGGGGGGCGTGTGCAGGAGGCAGCTGATCTATGTTTCTCTCTCATCCATGTTTCTTACTCTCTGTCCCTCTCCCTTCCTCTCTTTAAAAAAATCATTAAAATATATTAAAAAAAACCAAAAAACACTTTTGAGAATGTCCTAGTTGACTTTAGTCACAGATGGTGGAAGTAGAAAGGTCCGGAGGCTCATTGTGCATTCAAGAATTAAGAATATTTGTTGAAATCTGTTGTTTGCCTTTTTTATATAGTTGGATTGTCTCTGTAATTTGAGTTGTAAGGCTTGTTATATACTCCATATACAAATTCGTCACCTATTTTGAATAATTTCATTTTTTCTTAACTCACTTTTGATTCTGCAAATGTCCTATTTCCCAATGCTCTTTTTCAAAACATTTTTTTCTTTATTGATTAAGGTATTATATACGTGTCCTTATCCCCCGGTTGCCCCTCCACCCCACTCATGTCCTCACCCCGCTCGTGTCTGTGTCCATTGGTTAGGTTTATATGCATGCATACAAGTCCTTTGGTTGATCTCTCCCCTTTACCCGCATCCTCCCCTACCTTCCCTCTGAGGTCTGACAGTCTGATCGATGCTTCTCTGTCTCTGGATCTGTTCATCAGTTTAATCGATGAGAGAGAAACACGGATCAGCTGCCTCCTGCACATCTCCTACTGGGGATATGCCCGAAACCCAGGTACATGCCCTTGACCGGAATTGAACCTGGGACCTTTCAGTCCGCAGGCGGACGCTCTATCCACCGAGCCAAACCGGTTTTGGCTGTTGTTCTGTATTTTTATTGTTGACAGCATCACATATATCTCCCACTTACTCTCTTTCCCCCCCCCTCCCCTTCCCTCCCCTCCCCGGCCTCCCCGCTTTCACACATCTCTACTCTCCTCTCCACTCGTCTTCCCAGCTCCTCCCCCCTCCCTCCTTTAGGTCTTCACTAACCTACTGGTCCTGTCCATGAACTATGCATATATTATAAGAAATACTCTTGTTAGTTATTGATCACCTAGCGTTTGAGCCGGCAGTCACCCCCACACTTCCGTAGTCCTAAATCACTACCCACCGTGTGTGAAAGAAGCTGGAGTTGGGAAATACGCTTTTCACTCACTGCTAATAAAACAAGAACTACAACGCTTCCAAAGTTCTGTAAGGCCATTTTCTTCTACTTTTAAACCAGCGTTATAAGCAAGCCTTGCCGAGGCAAGGCCACCAAAAATTTTGGTTGCCTCCCAAAAAAAAAATTGGGAGAGAGAGAGATGCCCGTCAACCTCGTAGCGCACATCTCGGGTAAAAGCAACTCCTATTTCACTAACGGTAGCTAGTTCCAGTGCTTGAATAAAAATTTCCAGCTTATTTTGTAATTAGCAATCTCATTTTCAGAACAAGACATGGAAGAAAATTTTAAGTTACTCCTTTTTCAGCTTGAATTTACTCTTGAATATCATTTTTTCCGTCTAGCGTATTTACATATATGCAAATTTTACGGTGGTGTTTTACTAGAACACGTTGCTCGTAAAATCTTTTCTAGGGAATATTCTTTTTTACATTTATGTATATTTTGTCCTTGGGGCTAGCGGACTCCGGGGCGGGGGTGCCGCGGGTTCAGGCCCGCCGAGTCCGGTAGGGGGCGAGGCGGGGCGCAGCCGCTGCTCTCCCGCAGGCTCCGCCGGAGAAGGACCTGGCTGACCCTTCCTGATGGCGCGGCTCCGCCCCAGGCAGCCCGGGGCGTGCCCTTGGGGGGAGCAGCGGCTCTGGCCCCGAGAGCCGCACCACCTGCCCCCAGGGCTCCCGCAGTCCTACTGCCCCTCACGCACACTCTGGCCCTCTCACGCCCTCCCTCCCCCGGACCCGCCGCCGCCACGCTCTTGTAACGGCCCATCAGCACAGGGACGTGCTTAGTCACCACGGAAAGGTAAGTTAGACCACAGCCAGACATCTAACACACCTGTCGGGACCACTGAAGATCAGACGGAGGCCGCCCGGAGTGGTGAGGATTTGGGGCAATCAGACCTCTCAGGGGAGGGAACATAGAATGTCACCTCTTTGCCATACCGTCAGTTTTTCTCCTTTTAAATGATCTTAGAGAAACATCAGTGTGAGAGTGAATATCCCGGTGCCCCGACGGGGGTAGGACCTGAGCCTGGGGGTGGCCCTGACCGAGAGCCCCAGCCCTTTCAGAGTAGGGGACACCGCTCCAGGGCTTGATTTTTTTTTTTTTTAAATCTTTTATGGGGTTTTTTTTGTGTTTTTTTTTTAATATATTTTATTGCCGAAACCGGTTTGGCTCAGTGGATAGAGCGTCAGCCCGCGGACTGAAGGGTCCCAGGTTCGATTCCGGTCAAGGGCATGTACCCGGGTTGCGGGCATATCCCCAGTAGGAGATGTGCAGGAGGCAGCTGATCGATGTTTCTCTCTCATCGATGTTTCTAACTCTCTATCTCTCTCCCTTCCTCTCTGTAAAAAATCAATAAAATGTATTAAAAAAATAAAAATAAATAAAATAAAATATATTTTATTGATTTTTTACAGAGAGGAAAGGAGATAGTTAGAAACATCGATCAATTGCCTCCTGCACATCCCCCACTGGGGATGTGCCCGCAACCAAGGTACATGCCCTTGACCGGAATCGAACCTGGGACCTTTCAGTCCGCAGGCCAACGCTCTATCCACCGAGCCAAACCGGTCCCGGTATGGGTTGTATGGGGGGGGGGGTGTGTGTGTGTGTGTGTGTGTGTGTGTGTGTGTGTGTGTGTGTGTGTGTGTGTGTGTGTGTGTGTGTGTGTGTGTGTTTTGTGGGGTTTTTTTTTTTTTTTAGATTTTTAATGGACTTCTAGATGGGGGGGAGGGGGGAGGGGAGAGAGAGAGAGAGAGAGAGAGAGAGAGAGAGAGAGAGAGAGAGAGAGAGAGAGAGAAACACCTATTGGCTGCCTCGTACACACCCCCTACCCAGGACTGAGCCCACAACCCAGGCATGTGCCCTGACCAGGAATGGAACTAGCAACCTTTTGGTGCCCTGATGTTGCCCAACCAACTTGGTGGCACAGGACAGGGCAATAATGGCCGTTTATTAAAAAGTCGAACTACACCCACCATACACAACTCAGACATTCCATTCCTATTCACCCCACCCCCGCCACAATGAAAACAGTACATTCACACAGCACATGGATCTATACAGAGCTCTAGTCACAAGAGACAAAAATGAGAACCCAAATGCCCATCAAATAGTGAATGGGTAAATGAAATGTAGTCTACTACTCGCCAATGGCAGGAACTACTGCCTCGCCGGTTGGCTCAGTGGATAGAGGGTCAGCCTGTGACAAAGGGTCCTGGGTCCATGCCCAGTTGCAGTTTCCTTCCCCAGTAGAAGATGTACAGGAGGCAGCCAATCAATGATTCTCTCATCACTGATGTTTCTCTCTCTCCCTCTCCCTTCCTCTCTGAAATCAATTTTTAAAAGTCTTTAAAAAGGGAACTACTGTTACATGAAACTTCTGGATGACTCTAAAAATGGATTATGCCACGTGAAAGCCAGACACAAGAGAAACCAGACAGACATAAAATTCTGGAA